TAATAATTTTATATAAAAATAAATTATAATTTTTTATTATTATTTGTACAATATTATAAATTTTATATTTTTAAAGTTAAAATAAAATATAATAATATAATTATATTAATAATTAAATTATTATATTAATAATATTCTTGATATTAATATATTCTTAATGATTCACCAAATTAATGTAAATAATTTAATTTTAAAATTGACCATAAACGATATACTTAAGGAATCTTTTCCTGCGAAGCAATAACCAACCGGAAGCCCAGCTCAGAGACAAGAAATTTGAATGGCTCTGTCGTCAAGACTGCTCGCATTCTCCTTCTACCGACCCAAAATGTTGCTGAACTCTAACAACGGTCACTGCAACTACAAGATCAGTCCCAAGGTTTCGTTCGGTGCCGGCGAACTTTCTTCGAAGAAGAATAACGGTAGAAACCTTCCAATTCTCCTTTTTGACATAATGGACACCGTTGTTCGTGACCCCTTTTACGAGGATGTTCCTGCATTTTTCAGGTGCTTCGTTTTCTTTTATCCATTTTCTCGTTTAAATGATGAGGAAATTCGAGAAACTAAAACTGGAGAATATGATATTTCGTTTCGCCTTTTTCTTTATTTTGATTCAGTGTTTTCTTCGTTTGACTGGGATTCATTGTATTAAAACATGTCCGGTGAGGAAAACTGGATATAATTGTACTCCAGACCCTGGATTTTTCTTTTATTTATTTTTTTTAATTAAGGGTCATCTTCTTACTTCTTTGGAGGATCTAGAGTACCTTCTTGACGTTTTGATAGCTTTGCAAAATTCTTTTTCTATATGGGTTGCACCCCCTTAGTTCCACGTTAATGTACCACTCCTTATGTTCACAAAAATATTCAAAATAGGGCAGGAGTGGAGAAAGAACCAGAGGAATTATGGTAATATTCCCAATGTAATTTTGTTTTATAAAGACCTATGGCTGTATCAAGGGGATAGGAAAACCATTTTGGTGTCAGAGTCAGGGGTTATGGCATATGGAAGAACTTCCAACAGCAATTGGAGACTTCCATCAGAAGATCGGGCTTGTGACTGAGTGGAGAAGGAGCAATTCACCGCATAGTAGAAAGATCTTGCTGGTCTTCTGAACCTATGTTTGAGCAATTGTCAGCCAGAGTGTAATTCCTTAGTTCCAAAAGAGAGGTGCAGTTTTTCTTGAGTGGCCTACTGGGTATGGTTGCTGTTGAAGTACATTACAGAATCCTCATAATATAATCAATGTGATGAGTTTTGCACGTTTGTATGAGCAGTGCAGAATCCAAGATTGAAGGAATTTTGGGGTGGAGCACAAGGCGACTGTAAGGGTGGTCCCCGTTTTGAAAAGATTGAGTACCTGAAAATTGAAGGTGGGTGATCCGAAATTCTATGCTTCAATTGTGATCATTGTTTCATGGTGGGTCATTGTTGCAAGAAACTCTTTTGGTTAGAAATTTTGGATGATCAAGAAGGGTTTTGGACAATGACAAACCGGTGGTGTAGAATGATACAGAGGAGGCTGGAATTTCTATGCATGTCATTTTAGGTATTTAATCATCGTAAGATTGAAGATTACGGGTTTCTAGGAGGGGTTTGTATAGTGATTTTGATTGATCCTGGCAGTACTTATTGTTTTCTTGGATGTGATAGAAGCAAGGCGATTGAATTTCCTAATTGAGGATATGGAAGAATTTAGGATTATGGTCGCTAATAGGCAAGAAGATTCACATGCAATTCGATAATCATGTCTCTTCTCTTTCACTTCTTTGTTTTAGCTGTAACTGAATTTGGAGTA